ATTTTTTTTCATGAACACTCCCTATGTCTCTACCTACCTACTTTCTCTTCCAGTAGATTAGTGTTTCTGTTTTAATATTTAGAAAATAAAAGCAAGAGACAAAAGCTGGGGTCAGATTGAGCAACCTCTTTACCTTGGAGGGCTAAAGGACTAACAATAGTAGGGGCATTAATTCATACCCTTGCAAAGTTAGTATCATGAGAGGCAGTGTTGCCTAGCAAATAATGACTGAAATTGTCCAGGCAGGATGTTTTTCTCAAGACTGAGGTAACTTGACTGTTTGAAGTGCTCTGGCTCTGTCCTGCCCTCACACATATGACCAATTTCCAGTTCCAATCTCTCCTACTACTGAATATCTTTCTCAGTGTGTTTGTGTACAGGAATGCTATTGATTTTTGAGTGTTGACTTTGTATCCAGCTATGCTACTGAATTAGGTTATTAAATCTGGAAGTCTTTTGATGGAGTTTTTGGGTCTTCTATGTAGAGTATCATGTCATCTGTGAATAATGATAATTTCACCTCTTCCTTTCCTATCCTTACTCCTTCTATTTCTCTGTCTCATCTCATTGCTGTGGCTGATGTTTCCAAAACTATATTGAATAGGAGTGGTGACAGAGGCCATCCTTGTCTGGTTCCTGATTTTAGAGTGAAAGCTTTCAGTTTTTGTCCACAGTTGACTTCTATCAGAGTGAGGTAAAGACCATCTGTTCTGATTTTCTATAGTGGTTTTTTTTTTTTTTTTTTTAATCATGAATAAGGGTTGGACTTTATCAAATGCTTTTCTGCATCTATTGAGATGATCATGTGCTTTTTATCTTTGGCTCTATTGATATGGTGTATTACATTAATTGATTTGCATATATTAAGCCATCCCTGCACTCCTGGGATGAATCCCACTTGGTTGTGATGTATAATATTCTTGATGATTTGCTGAATTCTGTTTGCTAGTATTTTATTGAGAATTTTTGCATCTATGTTCATTGGGGAGATTGACCTGTAGTTCTCTTGGTTCTTCAGCCTTTCTCTGGTTTTGGTATCAGGGTAATACTTGCTTTCAGGAATGAGTTAGGGAGAGTTCCTTCCCTTTCAATTTCATTGAAGATTTTGAGAAGAACTGGCATTAATTTTTTCTAAATTTCTTGTAGAATTCAGTAGTGAATCCATCAGGACCTAGACTTTTTAATATTTAGATCTGTGATCCATTTTGACTTTAGTTTAATGCAAGGTGATACACATGGGTCTAATTTTAGTCTTGGGAATGTGGAAAGCCAGTTTTTCTAGCACCATTTATGAAAGAGGCTATGTTTCTTCCAGTGAACATGTTTGGCCCTTTTGTCAAGATAAGGTGGCTGAATGTTTTTGTAGTTATGTCTGCATCTTCTACTCTGTTCCAATGATCCTCAGTTCTGTTATTTTGCTGGTACCATGTTGATTTTATCACAGTAGTTTTGTAGTATAATTTCAAGTGTGGTTTTGTGATGCCTCTTGCCTTTTCTTTGTTCCCCATGATTACTTTTTCTATTCTAGGTCTCTTCTGATTCCAGGTGAATTTTAGGAATGTTGTCTCTAGATCTGTGAAGTATACTAATGGTACTTTAATTGGGATTGCATTGAATCTGTACAATTTTGGGAGTATGGCCATTTTCACAATGTTGGTTGTTCCTATTTATGATGAAGAAATATCTTGCCATTTTCTGAAATCCTTTGATCTCTTTTTTTCAGAGTACTGTAATTTTCACTGTATAGATTTTTTACTTCTTTTGTTAGATGGATTTGTAAGTATTCCATTTTTTTGGATGCTATTGTGAAGGGTGTGGTTTCCTAATTGTAGGGAACTCCTTGGTCTCTTGGTGTACCCCACAGAGAAAAGGTGGTGGGTATGAGGAAAATAAAATTATACACAACCAAACTACAAAGTCCTTTGTTTTTCAGTGTAAAAATGTAGTATAATTTAGAATTCTTATTTTTAAAATAACATTAATGTATATATTAAAAGATATTCCAAAAGACCAATGTGTGACTATTTTTAAAAAGAGAAAAAAAAGAAGACTAGTTATTTCTTTCATTTTTCTAGCTATTTCAAATTTAAATTTTGGAAAATTAAAACCATTCTCTAGTAGCTTAAACACAGATTTAGATTTATTTTTTATAGTGGCACTTCATGAACTGATAGCCTATACTTACTTTCCTAGATCTAGATTTATCTTCTATGTAACTGAGTCCGATGTTATCATTCAGGGTTCAATCAGAGAAACAGGATTGCTAGGAGGTATTGGTGTGTGTGTGTGTGTGTGTGTGTGTGTGTGTGTGTGTAAGGACATTCTTTAGTTTATCTTTCAATGTATTACCTATGTGAGACTTTGGGCCTGACCAAGCCCATATGATTGTTTGATTCTGGAGGAAGTCTAGCAAAAGCATTGGTGTAAAAGGAAATGATAGCAGAACTTGTGTCCCTGTGGAAAGCCAAGGAACAACACTAGATGCTTTGCTGAGATTAATGATAACATGATGGCTAACTAAGTCAACTCTCATTCCTGTGATAATAATTAAGTTGTATTGCCCTTGCTAACCCTGTTAATTCCTCCCATTTGCCCTGCTGCTTCCTTTGCTCTTTCTCAATAAAAGCTTACTGAAAATGGTAATGGGTGACAGTCCTGGAGGCTGAAGCACCCTGCTGCCTTTCTTGTTTTTCTTGTTTTTCATTTCATCCACGGCACCTTGTTTTCCGGACCTGTCACCCCAGATAGAAACGGAATATATACCAACATGTGTGCATGAATTTGTTACAGGGATTTGATCTCACACAATTATGAGATAAGGCTAAACAGTCCTTGTTTCTGATGGTATAGCTGAAGTCCACAGGACAGGCAGTTGAGAAGAACAAATGTGAAGTGAGGGAGGCCAACTTAACACCCAAAGCAACACCCAAAGCACAAGCTGGAATCCACAACAATGAATTCATGTTAGTCTCACTGTCTCTAACCTGGGAGAGATGGGTATGAGCCTTTCATTATGGAGGTAAATATAGACCTGGCTCAGGGATAGGTAAGCTGATAAATAAGCACCAACATGTAAGAAGTAAAAAGTACCTGCTGTAACCACTTCTATTCTCCAAAACTCCCACTAAACTATCTTTTTGTGGTCACTCTAACTGGAAATATGCACAGATTTGAAAATTCTAGGAAGGGTAGTTCATCCTAGCCAGGCTAACATGTTACAGGGCCAATACAGTCAACCACTTGTCAAACTGGCACCCATACATACATCTATAAACTGTACACAAATCCCAAATGGAGATAATAACAGTCATGTGACTGCCTAAAATGATACAACTAACTCCGATACAACAAACATGCTAAGTTTTTTCCTAAAAGAGAAGCTACAGAGTTATTTTTTGTATCTGGATGATACCATTCTTCTTCAAAATGATTCAATTTTCCCTGATATCTTGTAACTTAAACATAGATTTAAAGCTAATGATTATTAATATGTCCTAGTAGAGGAATGAGACTGTGGGGAAAAACAAATACTTAATAGCCAGATGAATATGTTCATATAAAAAGGGATATGAATACGATGTATCGTAACTTCTACAGAGCTCATTTCTGTAACTGGTACATTTTCATAGCTGTTATTTATAACTACTTTCTTCCACTACCCATTCCATATTCCCTCTGCCCTCAGCAAGTATTTCTGTTGTTTATCTGCTAGTTCCTTATCTGCTAGTCTGTTATTTGGTAGAGTAGTTGGCTCAAACTTTCACTATCAGCACTACCTAAATTAGATTTGTTATAGTGTTTTGTTTTTTACAGATTTTACTCACAGAACCTGGGAGTAATGCATTCCAGATGTGTTTTTCCTTCTGCACACTGTGTAGTAGCAACCCATATCCCCTTAATATTCAGACTCAACCTATTAGAAATTCCCCTTTTTTGCCTATGGACTTTTCTGAATGTTGGGAAGTACATTTGTAAAGCTTCTCTCAGATAATGCAGATTGGCCAGAGGAAGGCAATCTCAAATATCCGATTCAATAGACTCATTACTGGGTCCCTAGATGGGAGCATTCTTTTTGGAATACCTTTAGATCAGCAGAGCCCAAAGTTGCAAGGAAAGGAAGCAAAAATTTTGTTCATAGTGTACTAGGAATAATTTTGCATGGAACCATTCCCATTTCCACACCTTGATTTCTGGACCCATAAATTGTGGCTATGGGAGAAATATCACATTAAATCAAAAGTGAATTTAGAGCCCATATTATATCTGGGGTATCATGCGCAAACACCACAGAATTTCCACCTAGCTGGCACTATTTCTGGGTCTTCAAAAGGCCACTTCTCCATTCTATTAGGCCAGCTGCTTCAGGACAGTAAGAAATCTCGAAAGTCCAGTGAATTCTATAAGCTTGGGTCCACTACTGTACTTCATAGTCATTCTGATGCTGGGTAGAATACCAAGATGATGAATAATATATTCTGTAAATCATCAACTGCAGTTTCAGCAAAAACATTATGACTAGAGAGGAAAATCCATATACAGACCAAATGTCTGTTCTAGGGAGAACATAGTATTGCCTTTCCATGATAGAAGTGGTCTAGTGTAATTTACCTGGTACCAGGTAGCTGGACGGACCTCTTGGAGAATGATGCCATTGAGAAGTTCCACTGTTATGTCCACATCCGTTTTGGTGAGTCCATACTGATTAGTCTGTGTTGCTAAGCCAATGGACAACTGCCATCTCTGGACAACCAACATATACCTCCTAGCAGTTCTATCTTCTGACGGAACCCTTACTGATGAACTGAGTATTATGAGTGGTTTCAGAGGAGAATAAATGTAAGACTAGGCTCTCAGATTGATTCTGGGTTATCTAGAATTTTCTCATCTTTCTTTTATGGTAACATCATATACATATATATTTAAATCACTGAAAGTACTATTTAAAACTGAATAAATATTTTGATGACACATATAAACCAGAGTATTCAGGTAATACTCACTAGAGACTGGATCACCATATTAAGACAACTTTTCTGAATGTCGGGTGGTACATTTGCAAAGCTTCTCTCAGACCAAAACCTTGCAAAATGCATTACGATCCACCTGTTAAAATTAAAGAATCTCAAGTCAGAGAAATGGTATTATTTTTTATTATAATAGTATTTTTGTTTTCAATGATATAAATATATATATTTAAGCAACACTATTTATTTGATGAGCTCTAAGACGGATTTAACTATATTTCCTTTTCTGTAAACATGTATTTTAAACCCATGCTGGACTATGTGCCTAGATCTTATGGTTCAGCTAAAACGATGAGTAATACCTAAATCAATACTTCTACTCAACTGGTATGACTAGTTAAGCATTAAACTACTTATATTGTATCTAAGTCTAAAATTGGCCACAAAATTAGGAGAATAAAAGAACAAAATCCTTAAATTAATAATAGCACTACTTCAGATAACTTACTTCATGCAGTCAGCAAAAAGATTTTCCACTCCAAATGAATGAGCAATAAGTAGGCATTCAACCACAGATGCCAACGTTCTGGGAACAGGCTAAAATTGATAGAAAGCACCATATTTATTCTTTTCCAATTACCAGAGGCATTAAAAGTACTTGGCTCATAAAAAAAATCTCATTTATACACCTAAACTATGAAATAAAGACATAAAATTTAAAAACTGATGAATTTTAAATGTCACACATAGTTCTTTACCTAAAGTTAATTTCTGTCAGTACTCTGCCTCTATACATGCACTAGTCAATGTCCTAAAATTTTATTTCTTAAACACACTGAAAGATGTGGAAACACTCAAAAATCAGCACACAGATTTTTTTATAGCAGCTTTATTCATAATGGTCACAACTTGGAAGCAACCAAAATGTCCTTCTGTATGTGAACGTATGAGTAAATTGTAGTATACCCTTGCAATGGAATATTCAGCACTAAAAAGAGCTGAGTTTTCAAGCCATGCAAAGACATGGAGGAAATTTAATACATATTACTATGTTAGTATTAATGAGAAGCTAGTTTGAAAAGGCTACATAATACATATATGACTCCAACTGCATAACAATCTAAAAACAAACCCCAAAACTGTAGGGACAAGAAAGATTAGTGGCTCCCAGGGAGTAGAGAGAAAAATTGTTAGGACACTGAAACTGCTCTGTATGATCCTATCATGATGGATACACATCACTATACATTTTTCCAAACCCATGGAATATACAAAATGAACAGTGACCTATGTCTAATGTAACCTATAGACTTTCAGTGATAATTATGTGTCAAGGTAGGCTCATCAATTGTATCAAATGTACCACTCTAGTGAGGGATTTTGATAACAGGTTATGCATGTGTGGAGGTAGTGTGTACATGGGATATCTCTATATCTTCCTCTCAATTCTGCTGTGAATCTATCACTACACCCAAAAAGTTTTTAAAAATTGTTATTATTTTAAAATCAAACATAACTTTTAGTTTTACAGAATAGCATTTGAGATCTTTTAGTTGCCAAAATGTACATAATTTTTATTTGAACTTCTTTTACCTTAAATATTTTTATAAGCAAAAGTGGTACAATAATTTCCAGGACCTCACACTCCAGTACAACCATATAGTCTAATCTGCTTCCTAAAGTATAAATATTACTACCGTATTTCCTCCTACTAACACCTAACCTGGAAATAAGCACTAGCATGATTTTTCAGGATGCTCATACTATAAGCCTTAACCCCAAGGAAATCCCAGTTATGACCATTAGCCACACAGAAGCATCTAGTTTGCCCACTGCAAGATCTGACAAACATACTGAACGATAAGACAATATTACTATAGAATTAAACATAAATAATATTAACATTAATAAATAATAATGTAATTATAATTATTTGTAAATATCCAAGAGGACACATTGTGAGAGGTAAATGCCTAGCTAAGATGAACTCAAGACTTATTACTGACTGACCAATTGGATTATATATACAATGCATGAATAATATGCACACTTGATAAAGAATGTATGTGGTTATGTCTAACATGAATCTTCATAATTGAATACATCATGTGTTGTAATGACACATTTAACTCATTTGTGTGAAATAAAGAAATATTTTCTGAATTTTGGTGCCTATATTTGTCACTTTTATGTGGACCATCATTCCTAACTGTCATAATTTTTGTTGCCACCTCTGTCTATTAAGTCTTCAGTTAACACTAGATTTAATGGAAACTTTGTGAAGCCCAGCTTACAAGAGGTCATGACTTGGAGGAAGAACTCATGCAATAACATTACTGACACCTGTGTCGTCAACACACTAAGAGCAACACTCATTTAAGGAGAACTCTATTGCTGGACATGAGACTGGGCCAATGGTCCTACAGGAAATGGGGTAGCACGAAATTCAAACCGAAATTTGGGGTTTGAAGAGTTACAATGCTGTTCCAGAAGATGACATGATTGTATTTGAGTAAATATATATTTTTGAGCATGAATAAATGTAGAATGTCAGTCATGAGTAAATGCAGATTGTTGAACATGAAAAAATAAGACATTTCCTGAAAATAAGCCCTATTGTGTTTTTTTTTTTGGAGCAAAATATGAGACCTAGTCTTATTTTCAGGGAAATACGGTAATCACATATATAGTGGGAGGCCCTATAATGACCTCACATAAAAAGAGGATTTAATTAGATTATAATATAGAACATACTTTCTTATGGCCCTATATAAAAGTAATGAATTTAAAAAACAAATAAAAGTAGATACAGGCAGGGAAAACAATTTAATGTTTTTGGTGTTAAGTATTGGTGCTACGTATTACACAAGCCATGTATTTTCAGGTTTTGAGCTATGTTCCTAGGAAAGTCTATTTAATTAGGTTGGATTCTTTTTATACACGTTTATTGTGATTTTGGATTTACACACTTAGAGATCAATAAGTCAATTTATATATCAAATCTATAAATGTATATTTCTAAAGATCCTCTGCTCTCAAAGCAAAACAAAAGCTTCTTTTTAGAAATGTCTTTAGCTTTTTAAAGGGGTCAATAATTTTCAATTTTTTAATTATGAACTATTAATTTGATTTTCTAATACTCTTCTCCTAGAAGTGTTATACTAGTATTTAAGAACTGAATATATTTTGCTTTGCATATTAACAATTAAAGTTGTTAAACAATTAAAATCCCCTTAACATAACTGGAAGTTCTTATTTTCACATAAAAAGAGAGGATTTAATTAGATTATAGATATTAGATTTAATTCAGATTGTCTTAAAATCAGAAATGTCCATCACTATCAAGATTACACAGAAATAATTCTACTACCAAGTTAAACAATTTGTTTGTTAGATCCACTTCAGACTAGATTATTAAATTAGCATAAATTAGTATAAAAGAACAGGCTACTTGTATAGACATACTTGACAGCCTAAGAATACTCCACCATCTAAAAAATTATGAAAGCATGCAAAAGACTTTAAAAAAAAATCTAGTAGTCTAATTTACATAGGGAAACCAGTCCTATGCAACACAAAATCTATTAACTGATGTATAGCAAGAACAACTTCAAAATTATTAAAATACAAAATAATGTCCTATTTAAAGGAAAGGTTGGTAAACTACACTCTGTGGGCCAAATCCAACTCACCATGTTTTTGTCAATAAAGTTTTACTGGAACACTACCATGCATTTCATTTATATATTGTTTATAGATGCCTTTGATCTACAAGTGCTAGGTAGTCATGATATGACCCACAAAGCCTCGAATAATTACTATCTGGCTTTTCACAGGAAAAGTCTGCTGCGTCCCAGTTTACAGGGATAACTCTGGCTCTCTGAGAATTTATTTATGTGGAAATGCTGATTCCCAAGTGTTTGAGTAATAAGATGAGTGACTTTTAGTCATTTCCAAAACCTAATGTAGAATTTGGGAAGACATACTTAGATTTTTGTCCAAAATACAGTTTTATTTGGTGGAAAAATATATAAAGCCCTCTATAATCTTATACATGAAATGCAAAAATTTTTAATTATGTAAAGTGCAGGATTATGAAGTTAATAAAATGGCTAAATCTAGCTCATGACAGACGTTCTGCAGCCAGCTGTCCATTACATTATACCCCCCTCCCTTTTTTTTGATACAGGGTCTCACTATGCAGGTCAGGCTGGCCTTGAACTCATTACAGAGCCCAGGTTGACCTCAAACTCCTGCTGATCCTCCTGCCTCAGCCTCCTAAGTGCTGAGATTACAGGTATGCACCACCATGCCTGGATATATTCAAATTTATATTTACTATAGAGTAGTGCTGTAAGTTTACAATACTTCAATCACTATCAAGACACTAAGTGGGAATTGAAAGATAAAAATTATATATATATATATTCAGAAGTATATTTGTAAGAATATATATTATTAAAATATGTAAAGCAAAAAATTTTAAGGATCAAATTAATGAAACCATAAACTTCTCTCAAATACCCATCACCACAGTAATACAGTAATATACATCAAAGATGTATCTGAATTATAGTAAAAATTTTTGAACAAAATGCTATGCTAATAAAAAGCAACAGTTCTTGTTTTAATAAAGCAAATATGCTCTTCATGTTTTAAAACATTAAGTGAAGATCTTTTTGTGGTTCATAAATGTGATAATTGTGTTTTCACACCATTATGTGAGATACACCGCCTTCAAACCACGTTAAAATGTCAGCACGTTACCCGTCGGACATAAAATACAAAGAATTTAAAAAATGAAATAGATTATTGAAAGTAAAACCAAGAAGTTGCATATAAACCACGTATTCATGAACACATCAAAAAATAGAGGTAATGGTCTAAAAACTACTCACAAGAAAGATTTTTACAATGTTAGAAAGATATAATTGGTTTACTGAAGGAGTCTCAGAGGAGATCCTAAAATAAAATTTTCCCCCCAACTAACTCTTTTAACTAAGCTATGTTAAATTTCTCCCTTTATCATCCCTTAATGACATTATAAGCAGATCCTATAGTTTTCTGGTTTTATTGTTAAAGTTCAGTATAGTTTTAACACCCATCTCATTTCTCATCTCTATCACCTGCATTTTCTAGGTTTAATTCTATGAAAGAGGGCATGGATATTTATGATCATCTTATGTAATTAAGTGGACACTAAGATGATTTTGTACTTAACTGTGCTCTAGTTCAATGCTGGTGGTCTTGGTTGATGTGTGCTTCTTTTAGGAGCTCCTATTAGTTAAATTGATTTAGTATTTTTAATATTTAAAGCACTAGGGGCTGGGGATTTAGCTCAGCGGCAAAAGCGCCTGCCTGGCAAGCGCAAGGTCGTGAGTTCGGTTCCCGGTACCGGAGAAAAACCAAAAAAAACAAAAAAACAAAAAAACAAAAAAAAACAATATTTAAAGCACTATTACTACCAAAGTGAAAAATGAGTGACTTCAACCATGAGGTAAAGATTTCTGAGACTCAATAATTACCTTTTGAAAGAAATTACAGTAATCTCTTCTTAAAATGTACACTGCTACTTCTTTTAATCCTTCTAGTCCATACATATCAGCAATACTGAGTATCTGACTAAAATAAAAATAGATGTACTGTTAATTCCCAAATTTAAAAAATTCAAGGTATAACACATAGTAATTTCTTAATAATATATGGTCTGTTTAGATAAAAGAATGAATTATTCTAATCCTAACACTTTAATTAACATTATAAACATTCTTTATGGATTATAAAAAGGACACAGCCAAAGGCTGAAAGCACTGCCTCATGATTTACTTAATGGTGAATAACGAAGAAGTAAATTTGGAGATGTTTCAAATTTCCCTCATACGCTCAATGACATACAGAACAAATTCCAGGAAACTGCTTTGAAGGCTACACATGTTACATAAATCTTTCCAATAAATTTATATAATAAGAGTTTGGGAGAGAATTCATTGATGCTTATCATATCAAAAATATCTACAAATGAATCTAAGATTAGAGATAGCATCCAATCACTGAAGAGATTTTTCATTTGGCTAGTATTTCCAGTACCTACACATACTTTATTTATTTATTTATTTATTTTTTGTTTGTTTTTTTCTGGTACCGGGAACCGAACTCACGACCTTGTGCTTGCCAGGCAGGCGCTTTGCCGCTGAGCTAAATCCCCAGCCCTCATACTTTAGGTATGTAGAAAACTTACAAGCCTTGAAAGCATGATAAAAGTTCATGTAAGTTGCCAAGGGAGGAAACTTTAATACTTAATCCCTCTAATCCATGAGTATGTTCCCCCCCCAAAAAAATATTTATTCAGTTTGAAATTAAAAGCTCTATGAATTGTTAAAATTAAAAGGAAGGGATGTTTCATTTGTCTCATGTTAGAATATAAAGAAAAAGGAAAGACATCTGGAAAAGGAAAACAAAAGGGAATTTCAGAAGCTTAAATGGTATTTCACTACATAACCTGTAAGAATGACGTAATTATTGGTCTTTAGGATACCTTTATATTCTTCAAATAAGTTTTGAGGTTTTTCTTTTCTTTTAATGTTAAAAATACCATAAAAGTTAAAAATAAAGTAGTAAAGTAATATTAAATTTTAGATAAAATATTGGTTAATGGATTACAAGTTTGAGCCCATCCTGAGCAACTTAGGGAAAGCCTATCTCAAAGAAAAAGAAAACAAAAAAGCGATGTTGAAATAGCTCAGTAGGAGAATGCTAGTGTAATGTGTGTGAGGGCTTGGGTTCAACGCTGAGTACTGTAAAGAAAGAAAGAAAGAGGGGGCTGGGGATTTCGCTCAGTGGCACAGCGCCTGCCTGGCAAGCGCAAGGTCATAAGTTTGATTCCAGGTACCAAGGGGGGCGGGGACACGACACAACGAAAAGGAAGGAAGGAAGGAAAGAAAAGATTCTTCTAAAAATTTAAGCCTAATGAACAGTTTTCTTAATCTTATTACTATGAGTTACAATGTCAGGTTTTATTCTAAAAAAGGTGACTTGCTTATTATTTTTATATAGTCCTTAAACACACTCAATATACAGTAAAATAGCTCATAGAATTTAGGGATGCTCGGGGCTGGGGATTTAGCTCAGTGGCACAGTGCCTGCCTGGCAAGCGCAAGGTCGTGAGTTCAATTCCCAGTACTGGAAAAAAAAAAAAAAAAAAAAAAAAAAAAAAGCATTTAGGGATGCTCCTACTTCACTGACACAGCAACAGAACTCAACAACGCAGAGCATGTAAAATATTCAGATTTCACATTTAAACTCACTAAAAAGTAATACATACCTAACATTAGTTTTGTCCGGAAAATCCAAAATTCCTCCATAGATAAAATGCATCATAACATTCATTTCTACATGGTTTATACTGCAAAATAAAACAAAACTCAGATTCAGAAATAATTAAAGTTTAGTATTAGTGATACATTCTGTTGTTCCATAAAACTTTTAGCCAAGTCAAAGTTCTAATTTATATTGTTCAAACAACATCTATGTATTTCATTAAAATGAAGCAGGCTTGTGGGTTTCTACAAGAATTATAAAATGTTATTAGTACGTTATCAAATCACTGATTATTTATGGAACATCTTCTTCTATAGACTTTTAGAGCTGATGAGACTTTAGAGGTCATCATCTAATCTCTGATTCACTGGAGATGTAGCTTAGTGGTAAGTACTTGCCTAGCATGTATGAGGCCCTGGGTTTGATTACCAGCACTGCAAAAAGAAAAAAAAATCCTCCCCTTCGCACCTTTAATACATGGCCTCTGGTCTTATAGATGAACAACTGCATTCACTAGGAACATTGTTGTTATGCTGTACATACTTCCTTTTGTCTCATATTATTTTCATTAATATGCATAGCTTATACAAATTAATGCATTTCATTTTTGCAGACTATATACTTTAATCATTTTCTCTCCTCTGCCCCTTAGTTTCACATTTTTTGAGAGGTTCAGCGCATGTATTTTGATTACTATCCACTCCTGTAATATACACATTTCTTTAACTGTAATACTTATTAGTGATTCTAACTTGGCTAATGACCTCATTATACTACTGAAAAGGTAAAAACCTAATTCAGGGAGTATTTATGAGTGACAACCTTTATGACCAATTGACTACTATATTTTAAATTCTAAACTCATGACTTCTGTTATGGTTTGAACATGGTTTTCTCTCTTTAAAACTGATCCTGAAATTTAATCCTTATTATAACACATTAAAAAGTAGCACCTTTAAGAAGTGATTAGGTCTCTGCCCTCATATATGCATTAACCTATTCATGTGATTACAGATTAATGGATTATCTCCAGAGTGGCTGCGATATCTAAGCCAGTTTGGCTATTTCTCTTGAGTGCTTCCTATCTCTCACCAAAAGATACCAGGCATCCTCTTGGGCTTCTGTCATCCATAAGAAAACCATCAACAGATGTGGATCATCAACCTTGGAAAAGAACCACCAACCAAAATAAACCTCTTTTCTCTGTAATTTATGTAGTCTGTGATACTGTGCAATTAGCAGCAGAAAAAGAACTAAGTTATCTCCTTCCTCCTCCCCACTCCAAACTCAGTCTTCTGTTATTTCTGTTGACAACACTATCATAGGGTAACTCGCATCTTGTTCCCACTCTATTCCTCCGTACCAAAGGGAACAGTTTAGTGGGCTTGTGAAAAACAACCCGTGACTGAACTCAAGATGAAAGGTAATTTGATTTCTCCATTCCTGCTGAGTCAGTGAGAAGAAATGGTGGGTGAACAGGGCATCTGCTATGCAGAATTAGATTTTTTAGGTGGGCTGATTTAAATGGATTCAGTAAGCAATCAATTTTAGATCTTCCATTAAAAGTCAATTACTGTTTCAACAGTTCTTAATAATAACAAAGCTATTATTATTATTATTAGTGTGTGTGTGTGTGTGTGTGTGTGTGTGTGTGTGGTACTGGGGATCGAACTCATGCCCTTGCACTTGCCAGGCAGGCGCTTATGCCACTGAGCTATATCCCCAGCCCTAGCAATTATTTTCTTACTTCATATGTTGATTCTTTTGTTTTATTCTAAACAGGAAGGAAGTATGCTCTTTATTAAGCCCTCCTGAAAACTCTCACAAATATTCAACTAGATGTCTAAGTCTGGACCTCAGATTCATCTTATCCTCTCCCTCACCGTATCCTGTCATTTACACCTTCAAGAATTTCTTGAATTCAGCCTCTCTTCTCTGATTCCCTTTTTGCTGCCTTGGTTCATTCATTCATTTTATCCCATCTGAACTATGACAATATCCTCTGATATAGATTTCCTTCCTAGAATTTTCTGCTTGTAGTCTCATGTTGCTATTTTAACAACTTTGCTAAAGGACAAATCTCATATAGTCTCCCACTTCTAACTCTTCATCTATTCTCCAATGCCCAGAGGGAAAAAAAGTCCAAATTCTTTAGCTTGGTCTAATACTTTATCATCTGACCTCTATTTCTCCCTCTCTTCTAGCTGTTCCAAGGTAAATAAATATACTCATTTTCTACACTTGAACTACTTATAATTCCTTATATATCCATGCCTTAGCAATACAGTTCACTGTGCTTAAAATGTTGTTGCTCTCCACTTGGTTCATCTTTCAGGTATAGCACATGTGGCTCTTTACCTCTGACTGCTTCCTTAATGCTCTCAAGGCAGAAACAAAAACAAAAACCTCAGTGTTAACAATGATTAACATTTATTGAGGAATCATTATGAGACAATGATCAACATTTATTGAGGAATCATTACGAGACAGTCCCTGAGCTAATATGGTCTTTCAAAGCTACTGGCTCATGTAATCATCATAACAACTCAACAGTAGGTACTATTATTAACCTTTTTTCATACATTTAAAAACTGAAATTAAATAACTTGCCCACATTCAAATGTCTAGTAATGCACAAAAATTTAATCAATGCAGAATCATTCCAAAGCCTGGGCTCTTAAGCATTATTCTATAATTAATTTCATTAATACAATCTTTACCAAAGTGTCTTGTAATGTCTTTATGTATTTGTCTCTCTTTCTAGACTCTGTCCTACAAAGGCAATACTCATGTCTTTATTTAACCTTATATCTCTAATACCAGGAAAATATCACAATTGATTCAATACCCCAGAGCAGGAGAATTTCCTTTCCGTTATCACAGTGGAGTTCTGCAGTAGAATCTCGATGGAGACAGTTCTGAAAAGACCCTCAAAGATCATTAAGCATACTGCCTAACATCTGCTAAAGGAACGAAATGAAAAAGGCAAGAAGAAATGGAGTCCCAGAGGGCAGGACTCAGACAGGTGTTTACTTCAATTCTATGACCTTAAATAATGTATAGTCAGTGAGTGTTTGATTAATGTTTAATGAATAGCTTATTAGAGACAGAAGAACTCAAACCTTTCTCCTAAACCTTCACAGGAACACTGAGTTGAAAGTATGTAAATATTAATTTAATAAGTATTACTGGCCTCTACTATGGATAAGTACTAGTTTCTGCTAATTTAAAATTCTAGCTTTAATACTTAGAGAAAATGGAAATATCAGAATAGTCTCATAGTACTATGGATACAAAAAGATCTAACCTCAGAATCATTAAGCCATATTATCTGTAGTGTGTTAATCTAAAAGACTAGAATAATTATTAGAATAATTATTAGAATGTACACTATTTAATATTCTTTTCTTCAGATTTCTTAAGAGCCATTCTTATCAACATTAATGAGAATTGGCTATTATATTGAAAGAATAATTTAAAACTTGACATGTTTAAGCAAAAGATAATGATTAAATAAAAACAAGTTTTTTCTATTAAAATAAGCAGCAAAATCTAGACATTTGAGACTATGTATCAATATATGATAGATATAAAAACAGCAAGAAACTATTTTCTTGCTGTCTGAACAAATGTTTTACTAAGCTGCACTCTTGTTACTATGTTGTAAGTTATTTATATTTTTGCCAAAAGTATAAAGACATGATCAACTGACTTAGAAAAATTATTCCAATAGCCCACAGTTTAAATGGAAAGGATTAAAGCACTATTCCAACTAAAAGTAATCAGGATAAAAGCTGTAGGAGATGAAACCACTACATGTATTGAGAGTTTAAAACAAGAACAACCAACAAGAGGACAAGGATCTAAGGCCAGATACCAATCATGCACTTAACTCTATAAAATCTCCACACCTTCTGTTTCAGGTTCCTAAGTGTGTGGGTTAAGGTAACATAGAAACTCATTCATTTGTTTATTCTATTGTCTATTGATCTATTCACGTTCACTATTGAGTTCTATTCTGGATCTTGGGAATATAAGAGTGTCTTGGTTACTTTTTTCTCGCTGCTGGGACAAAATACCCGATGCCCAAAATTAAGGAAGGAAAGGTTTATTTTGCTTACAGTTCGTGGAAGTTTTAATCCATACTCGGCAGATTATAAGGCAGAGTGGCAAGTGGCAGAGGGCTGCATCTCAGGGCGGCAGCACAGCAAAAGCTGCCACCACACACACGCCACGGCGGACTCTGGGAGGAATGCCCTCAAGCAGCTTCTTCCTCTCCCTTACATATGCAAACTATCCACTCCCGGGCAGGTGCAGCTCTCACACCCATATTCAAACCCTAACAGCCTGCCCCATTTCCGCATGAGGCTTTGGGGGGGACACACAGACATAAACCATAACAAAGAGGCTTATCCTCTAGGAGGAGTACACAAACAATAAACATGTAAAAATACATATAAAGAAAGTAATTTGGATAGTCAAAAGTGGCATGAAAACAACACAATAGGATAACATAAAGAGAGCAATTGAGCTTGGGCTATAGCTACTCTAGGTGGGGTAATCTGGGCAGGTGACACTCAATCTCAGATTTCAAGCATGAAAAGCTACCAGTCATGTAAAACAGTACATGGAAAAGCTTTTAGGCAGAGGGAACAGCAAGTGCAACAGCCCTAAGACAGGAATGAGCTTGGTGGGGAAAAGACCAAAAAAGAGTTTGGATTTAATTCAAATTGTGATAGGATGACATGGAAATACTTTAGTCAGAAGAGACACATGATTTGTATATCAAAAGATCATCCTGATCTTTTGATCATCAGAACAATCCCAGAAATCTGAGAAGAGAAAAACCAAATTTATACTCCAAAGTTCATGCCACCACTGTAGGGCTTTTACTTATAAAAATAGAAAGACATACAGTTCTTTTGTAGAAGTATCAGCTGTAGCTCAATTTCTATTGCAGTATGTGAAAAAAAATTTCACTTCCTCTCACTAGAAAAGGTAATTTCCTTCCAATTATAGCCTTCCGCTTCCCAACTCTGGGGCATGGGTGGAACTAAGTCTATGGAACTATAACATTCCCACCTC